TGTGGGGGGGGGGTAGGGAGTAGGGGTGGTAGGGGTTGGGTGAGGTTAAAAAAAATCTTAAAATTTGAAATATTTTTCAAAATTAATTTTTAAATTTTTTATTTTTTTTGTTTGAGAAGGGGGGGGGGCTGGTTTGGTGATAAGGATAAAAATATAGATGAAATTTTAAAAATAAGAATTTTTTTAATGTGGAGAGTCGAGTACGGGGTATGGGTAGGGCAAGAAAAATAAATAAATGATGAAGTAGAGTTTTGGAAAATATTTTCCTTAATTTTAGAAGTGAAGTCATTTTCCTTATAGTTGAGGAAAATGAGTTTGATTTGGAAAATATTTTTCAAACATTTAAGTCAACCAAACATGAGAAAATTGGTCCATACCAAACACACCCTACATGTCTGTGTGTTTTCTTGGGAGCTAATTGTATCTCCTGGTCATCTAAGAAACAACATGCAATAGCTCGATCAAGTGCCGAAGCAAAGTATCGTGCTCTAGCTAGCCTCTCTTGCAGCGGAAGTAATGTGGACTCTTCATTTGTTGTGACACCTTGGTGTATATATCGATTCTCTTGATGTGCTTTATTCCGACAATATTAGTGCATTACACCTCACAAGCAATCCGATTCTTCATGCTCGAACAAAACATGTTGAACTGGACTACCACTTTGTTCGTGAGAAGGTCTCCGCTGGGGCAATAATTACCAGATATGTCCTTCCATTGAGTGCTCATTCTATTGAGAAAAAATATACTCCCTCTATCCCATTTATGTGACAATTTTTAGATTACGAGATTCAAACAAGTCTATGTTTGATCTCAAATTTTTCATAGATCTTTTAAATATTTTGAATTACTATCAATTATTGTGACTCATAGTACTTTTTACGTAATTTACAAATATATAAATTTCATTTCAAAAAAATTGAAGATTCCATGCGCAAATTTGCGGTCAAACTTAAACTGTTTGCTCTTGAAAAATGAAAAGTGTCTCATAAATTGGGACAGATAGAGTAACAACTATAGTATTATGCAAAAGCAATGCATAAAATAAGTAGGTCAGATGAACAAGAATACAAAAAAAAATCAATAAATATCAAGATTGATATTTATCAATTATCAAGATAAAAAAACTGTAATGACCTGAACCGTCGTTATTTAGGAGGAACAAAAATCTGGGAAAATTCTGGACCATCCTCCCGCCAGAGCGGGCTGGATGCTGCTAGGGCGGCAGCGCCAGGGCGGGGTAAGTTGGAGCTAGAGTAGGATAGGCGAGGCAGAACGTAAATTACAAGAAATCCTATTTTCTTCATCTTTCTAAAATACCTAAATAAGTCGTAAAACACCCTAGAAACGTCAGAATAGTTGCTCTAAGCTTGGAAAGGAAGGAGAAGGAGATTTCTAGCGTGAGGATGGTGAGATCTTGCGAACTCTTGGCCAATTCACCGTCACGAAGCCCAGAAAAACCGAAGCGAAGTCAAAAACTTTGTACAACTTCTTGGCGTCCAAGTAGGCTAGGTTTTATGAATTGAGTAGTTTAAATTTGTACTCACCGTGTAATTTATGTAAATCAATGGTAGGATTGATGCGTAGACCTTCGTGCACCGAATGATTTACGATTTAATAGAAAGAAGCCTTAGACAATAAACTAGGGCTGAGTATGGCTGAATTAGGGTTTGCATGAGGCGCGTGGATGAATAATCCACGAGAGATAGTTGTGACTCTATGATTATGTGATGTATGATGTTCTTACTTCATTATCATACCTATATGTATATGAATGATGCATTAGTGATCACACTTGTTGTGCGTGAGATAGATGAATTATGATTTCCATGAAATCATGACCTAAATGTATGATCTTGAAGATATACTTGTGATTGTGATTGTGGTGTGTTGAATGGATCAGTTGCCACGTTCCGGCATAATTAACTTGGATCGGTTGCCATGTTTCGGTATAACTATGGGATCGGTTACCACGTTCCGGCATAACTAACTTGAATCAGTTACCATATTCTGGCATAACTAACTGTTTGGGTTTGGGTTCCATGAGAAGACCAATGATATGACAAATTGTGTGACTTGATATAAAATGTGAAGTGGTTCGTTGTTCGTAAATGTTGATACTATGGTTCATGTTCGATATATGCATGGGATTATAATGTTGTTTTGACTTGCTTATGTTGAACTTGGGGGATATAGGTTATGACCGTTAATATTTGAGAGTTCTTGGGTTAATCGAACTTATTAGATATAGTGGAAGGATAAAGAGTTCAAGGGGCACGTAATATATAATAAGGGGGGAGGGTTCATATGTTGTAATGACGAGAAGTAGAGGTAGCGGGTGTGATGAAATATGCTTAGGCAGATTTCGCTTGGGGAAAAGAGATTGGGTTTAGTGGGAAGATATCTTGATTTAATGTAGTATGTGACCATGGTTGGTTAGTGTGACGAGGAAGTAAGGGTATGACGTGAAAGGTTGGCTGAAATGTCGGTGGTTGTGTTTGGGAATTCCTTGATGTGATAGAATGGTTAGGTTATGATCAAGTACCTAGTAAGTAGGTTGACTGGAATGTGGTTAGTAGTCAGAGTGCTAGTGTGATTTGGAGGTATTTCAAGAAGGGGTAAAGGTGGAGAAGCGAGTGGTTTATTTCAAGATCTTACTAGTTGGTTTCTTATGTTATGTGGTGGGCGTCGGGTTGACCGATGATGCCTACTAGTATGCGTGTTTTGTACTGATACTACTCTTGCTATGTCTTTTGACATAGTCTGGATGCAGGATTGGTAACGTTTCATTAGCCAGCAGCTTCCATTCTTCCTTCCGCATGGTGGGAGCTGTGTCTTTATTTATTTGTCCAGTTGTACTCTTAGTAGCTCTTGTACCTGTTTAGATTAGATCCATGGGAGTTGTTAAATTACTTTGCAAGTTTTAACTAATAGTGTGTCTAGGGATATTATTTATAAAATCTTGTTATTATAATTGTATTTGTTTCCTTAAAATTTTCCGCATGTTTGACTTTTCGGATATGAGGGTTCTCCTACTTAGGTGTTAGAGTGGGTGCTCGCACGGCCTGGTGGGTTGGGTAGTGACAAAAACACTAGACTATATAACACATACAAGTCCAAAAGTGAATTATTCTATGAAGCAGTATTCAACAAATGTCATAAAACAACAAAGGAAAAAAGCCTACATAAATTCAACACAATAATAGGAACAAGAATAAATTATAGACAATTTGTCGCATTTTGATCACGTCTTACTTAATAGTATCTAGTTCTAATTTTCTACATCATGTTTTAGTTGTAAACACTTTATTTGCTTTGATTTATTAATGAATTAGCCTCAGGGGAAAATCTCAAAGACTTCATTTTTTGAAAAAGGTCACTCTAAAGTGGTTCATCTAAGAGTAACTTGGATTCAGTAGCACTGAAATTGTCTTACATTGAATTTGCACATTCGTACTCCCTCTGTCCCTAATTACTTATCAACTTTTCCTTTTATAGTTGTCCCTAATTACTTGTCCATTTTGACAAATCAAGAAAGGACAATTTTTTTTACCTATTATACCCTCAATTAAATGACTAATTACTTTGAAAAATGCAAACTTTTCATCCACTTCATAATTAATAGGGGTAAAATGGTAAACTCACCATGCCATTAATTGATTACTTAATAGGTGTGTCAATTCAAAAGTGGACAAGTAATTAGAGACAAAGGGAGTACTATTTATGTTCTTACTCTATATTCACATATCTTACACAATTATATAGGTATAAGGATACAGTTTAAAAAATTAAATGAAGAGAAATTGTGATAGGGTAATTCCTTCAAATAGACATGTACACATTGAAATTTTGTGGGACTCTACAAGATGAGTTTAATTCGACCTGGGACTCTACAAGGTGTGTTCAATTTCAATTAGGATTCTTGAAGGCTACTCAACCCTAAACCCCAGTTCTTGCCTATATAAAGGGTACTAAGTTTCCTTCAAAGGCATCTCAAAAATTCCATAAAGAGATCGAAATCTCAAAAATTTCACCACAAATTCATGGAATATGATCATAAAGAGATCAAAATTCAAATTATCTTAATTCGAGAAATACACTACTAACGGCCCTCAAATTATGAAGATCAAGTCCATATCATCCTAGTTCGAGAAATACACCATTAACAGCCCTCAAATCATTGATAAATATCTTGTGAGAGAAGAATTAAGGAAGGAACATAATTGTACCCACGTTGATTTATCAATAAAATATTCTTGTTTTTTCAGATTTATTTATGGTTGGTTTATTTTCCATATGCCTAAAATTTGTTGCAAACAAGACCTTCAAGTAGAGGTGATCCAATAATAAGCACTCTAAAAATAGGGACAATTTGCATACAATTAAACAACAATTACATTAAACTCAAGAAATACTATAGTACAAATGTTTATTTTTCCTTATTCCATAAACCACATAACATCGAAAGGGCATTCACACGGAGGGAGTTTACAAGAAAACTAAATGACACACAATGCTTTTGCAATATCACTCATTGTACACACTAACATTCGGCCTTGGTTCAAAGGACTTTTCTCCTTTAAGACTGATTTCATTGTCACGGTAGGAAGTTGCAGTTGGCCTTGGTTCAAAATCTTTTGTAAAGGATGATTTTTCTTGTTCGAGACCAGCACCACCATGATAGTAAGTAGTTATAGTCGGTCGTGGTTCAAAAGACTTTTCTCCTTTAAGACCGACTTCATCATCACGGTAAGAAGTTGCAGTTGGCCTTGGTTCAAAATCTTTTGTAAAGGATGATTTTTCTTGTTCGAGACCAGCACCACCATGATAGTAAGTAGTTATAGTCGGTCGTGGTTCAAAAGACTTTTCTCCTTTAAGACTGACTTCATTATCATGGTAAGAAGTTGCAGTTGGTCTTGGTTCAAAAGACTTTTCTTGTTTGAGACTAGCATCATCATGATAATAAGCAGTTATAGTTGGCCTTGGCTCGGAAGGAACGTCATACCGAGGCATAAGATGCTTGATTGCTATAGGCATGGGCTCATTTTTCATCACAATATTCCAATATTCTCCAGGGTCTCTTCTTGCATCTGTGCTGCTAGCATACTGCACAAAAATGACAGACAATAAAATGTTTGTTGAATTCTATGTTACATGGTTACATGTTCATTCATTTTTTATTACTAATACATAGAGGGTCAGTTGGTTATTTGACCAATTTGCTATTCTATTTTAACTTCATTTTAATTTATTTGTTTTGTTTTGTTTTGTATATGTTATTTATTTAAAAATTATAAAAAATAGTATTATAAATTACAATAATATTTTAAAAAATATATTAAAAAATAGAACAAATCACAAAAATTTTCTTGTGCAACATGAATTGGGATGTAGGGAATAACATATATTAGTTGAAAATTATATAAAAAGTACTATAATTTACAATAATTAACTACTTAAAATATTTTTAAATCATATAAAAATTTAGTTGACTTTGCTAATTTTATGTGCCACATAAATTAAGACACATAAGATAATATATATTAAACCTATGCAAGCACATAGTATTGCATCTAGTATACAAATATGCATAAACATTTGGTATGGATATACATAGATTTATTTTGGGTAGAATATTTATATTTTTGAAAAAATTAGTTTTAAATTTATATTTTTGACTTTTAATTTTTTAAAAAATTCATGTAGGATATATATGATCTTTCTAGCAAAGTTCAAGGTATATTTTAATTTTTTCATACATAAATTGTTTTTTGACTTCTTTGATTATCATTATTTGAGTTTCTTATTCTTTTTTTTTTCTTTCATTCCTTGGTGTAAAGAAAAAAAAACTAATTTTTTTTGACTATATTGTTGCTTTAGTTTTTGTATTTGAAAAAAGGGAAAAAAGACAAATATACCCCCGAACTATTGTAAATGGTATGCAAATACTCTCCGTCATACTTTTGGGACATTGGTGCCCCTGCCGTCCAAAAACTAGAGCATATATGCCCTTCACTCTAACGGAAGACTAAATAGGAACACGTGGCACATTCTTATCCGTCGATCCGATATTTAATAAATGTCGGGTCGGTAGATAAGATTATGACACGTGTATGTCCGTTTGTATAAAGGGTATATATGTTCTAGTTTTTGAACGGCGAGGGCACCAATGTCCTAAAAGCGTGACAGAGGGTATCTGCATACCATTTACAATAGTTCGGGGGTATATTTGTCATTTTTCCCTTGAAAAAAAATTGGGTCATCTATAATAAATTTTACAAGAAAATTAGTGAACATAAATAAATTTGACCTTCAAAGTAAAAAATTTAAATTGATCATTAGAACCAAAAAAAAGTCAAAAAAAATATGTGTGAGGAGGATTAAATATACTCATATGGGATTATATTTTTTTTTAAAATAATTAAAATTAATTTTTTCACTTCCGTTAGAGAAAAATGATATATGTGAGACATTTGTATAACAGTAGGCGTGTATATATGAACCATTTTCATAACGAGTGGTATATTAGCTCTAAATGACAAAATTTAAGGGTATATCAACCCCTTTTCTCATGATATTGACTAGAGGAGTTTATGTTTTATGCATCGTTAATATACTAATTTTTTTAGATATTGGGTAATTTTGTTTTGATTTGTTTACTTCTGTTATTTTCTTGAGTCGATGGAGTACCGAAAAAATATCTTAACCTCTCAAAGTAAAGATAAGATCTGCACACATACTATCTTATCTAGACCCCACTAATTGTTGGATTTCGCTGGATATATTATTGTATTAGGTACGTTGCTAAAAAATCACTATTTTTATATTAAAAATTTTCAATGAAAAATATTCAGTGTTCATTTCCACTTATATTTTGATTGAATCAGTGAGAAAATAATAATAATAATAATAATAAGGAAATAATGTTAACACATGCAAAAATTTGAAAGTTTCCAACTCTTCCGGTGTGAATTTGTTTTTCACCGTGTGTTTTTTCAGTAAATTGATTTGATGGAAAATAGATGAAGAAAACCATATTTTATAACACAAAAACAAAATTCTCATTGATTTGTGATGAAAAAAGTCTCTATTTCTAATAGTGATAGAATTTCTTTGATAACCAACATTAAATAGAGTTACCTACAATAATAGAAACTAATTGTTTAAATACTTTTGTGCATTGTATAGAATTTAACTTACCAAGGCAAGTGGAATGAGGAGGATGAGAGCAAAAAGTGATTTCATGTCTTCAAGAGAGGTACAACTCATATGCTTTTGCTATTGATATTTGCTTGGTGCATGGATAAGAAAATCCTAGAGTTTATATAGACAAGTTTGGCAAATACAAAACAATATAATAACAATAATAGTAGTAGTATCTTTTATAAAACAATAATAGTTATTATTATAATTTATAATAATTGATAATAATCTTTTATAAAACAATAATAATTATTATTATAATTATTACTATTATAAAAAAACAAGTTGGCAAAATAGCGATTTCAATTCTTGTATTATTTTATAATTTCAGTTTTACTCCATGTGTTATTTGACTATGTATATTTACTTTCAATTATTTTAAAGTGTGCGGTTTTGATCCTTAAAGTTAATTAACAAAAGTTAACTATTTAACAAAATGATTATTTTAAAAGATATAAAATAAATTGAAGGGTTAGTGATTCTAAATACTTGAAGAATTATGTATAGATAAAAAATTGAATTTAATAAAAACTAAATGTTAATTTTTTTAAAGATTGAAAGTTGTTAGGACACCATTGATAACCGTAAGGATTGACTGGCAGGAGACTATATGGCTTTCAATATGCCGCAAAAAAAGCTCTATCAGTTAGAGGTAAAATTTGTACTCCGATATCGATGAATTTCAAAACACTATTTCAGACTCTATCCGATACGGAAGGGGCCTTCTTTAGTATTAGTAGCTCATCCTTCGAAATGAAGCTCCCCTCTAGTTTAGGTTGGGATGATGGATCCTCAACCCTACCCCTAGCAAGTCAACTCAGTTCCCATTAAAAAAAATAGGATAGTTTCAATAGCCGCAAGTTCTTAGTTCCTAAGGCCTGTGCCCCATGGAATGGGCAGAGATAGGGAGTGACTCGCAGATTTCTACTCTTATGGCTCCACCTACTTAACTCTTTCAAATATAATCGTATTTGACCTTGATTAGTAACCATTAAAAAAAAACAGAGAAGAGGAAGCACAAGTTGCTAATGAATAAAAAAAAGAGCAAATATAGAAGCAAATGCGATCAATTTATATAATATTAAAATAATCACTCTAATTGTATATTTTTTAAAAATATATAAAATATAATTTTAATTTTATATACATAATTCTTCAAGCAATTAGAATCACCAACCCTTTATTTTATTTTATATATTTTCGAATAATCATTTTGTTTAATAATTAACTTTTTTCAACTTAAGGACCAAAACCGCACACTTAAAATAATTGAAGGTTAATGTGCATAGTCAACACAAGGACTAAAATAGAATTATGCAATAACATGGACTAAAATTGCTATTTCATATGGACTAAAATTACTATAATGCTATGTTGGGCAGCAAAGCAGACTAAATATTGCAGAACTCATATGGACTGCACTTTTACAATCAAAACATCGATTTATTGTATGACTGACTGTACAAGGGAGACTGCTTACAAAAGAAAGATTAAAGCATCTCACTGTTTCAGTGGAAGATACTACATGTTGTCTTTGTGCAAGTCAATTTCTATAGACTCAGTTACACATCTTCACAGAATGCACTTGGATAAAGACATTGAGAGATGACATCCAACAGTGGGTAGGACTAGCCATACCTAAGGGTGAAGTTAAGAAAGTGTTGGAAGACATAAAGAGGAGAACCAGAAGCATTCCAAAGGAAGTGATCGCAGCTATTTGGGGAGCAATGAAGAACTGAAATTTTTTTAGAGGATCATCGGTGAATACTAATATAGTGTTAGTACAGATTAAGAAAGAAGTTATAGAGATTAGATTTACTTAAAGGATCTAGGAAAGCTAGCAACAGTCAAAGGTTGATAACCAAGTTACTTAGTGTCTACTTTTTTTTGTTTTTTTTGGGTAGTTGGAAACCTATGCATCTTAGTACTCTTCCTAGAAGGTGGCTAAGATGATACGTGACCTTATGGTGTAATGTTCTTTGTTGGTTAATGGTAATTTACAGTGTTTACCAAAAAAATTTTTTAGTCTATTTTTCCTACATAGTTGTAGAAATATAGAGAAGGCTAATGTCTGTTTCTAGTCAAGGATATTTATGTAATTTTTGTATTTTATCATTTGAATTTTTTATTTTTTTTATCTTTTAAATATTTGAAAATTATATTTAACAAATACTATAAAAATTATGATAATTAACAATTTAACATATTTAAATTTTTTTTATTGATTCTCAAAAATTTTATCGGTGCCACATAAATTGAAACAAAAGAAATGACATATACTATTTAAAATGATGTAAAGAACACTATAAATCACAATAATTAGCAACTTGAAATATTTGAAAACATATAAAATTTGGTTGATTCTTGAAATTCTATATGCGTCATGTATATTGGGATATAGAGAGTGATATATATTATTTGAAAGTTATGTAAAAAAATATTATAAATCACAATAATTAACAACTACAAATATTTTAAAATTATAATCTTTGGGATGTTTTTCCAAATTTCAACGATATCACATAAATTGAGACTGAAAGAGTACATATATTGGGCTCATGCTAGCACAGAGTCTCATATCTAGTATATAGTAGAAACTAGTAAACGTGTCCACTCTTCGCACAGTTATAAAAGATTAATACACATAATTTTATCAATATTATTCGTTCTATTTTATATAAAATGAATTTTTAGACATTTTTTCATTGTTTAAAATAATTAAATTGTTCAATGTTCAAGATAAATATTTGAAATTTTTTCCATATTTGTTCTTCCCTTAAGGTTGTACATTTTTCCAAACTCTTTTGAATAATGACTATCTTTACTTTTAAGAATAACTTGGGAATAACCAAAAGGAAAATAGTGGAAAACATAGTTTAATTTATGTCCTCGAATATTTTTCT